GGTAAAAAGTGTGTAGGGCGTAACCAGAGGTACACACTCTAATGGGAGGAGCTAAGAGGTTTACTTKGGAATTCAATGCATACCATTATCTAAGCTTGTGCGTGATGTTAGCCATGCTGAACTCTTATATTGACATATGTATATATCTAATTGATCGTTCTTTTTCTTGTTTTCATACGATACGAAATGGTAATTACAAAACTGATTGCTTAGTTCGTCTATAAAAATAATCATTTTCTCTCTCATAACAGTACCATGAATGTCAGTGAACAGTAAGTGAAGGGTTTGAGAAGTGTTTTGCAATTGCGTTCCAGATCATCAACTATCAATCGAATTGTCATTTYCAATAAATCATACCAGCTGAGCTGAAGCTGTGTTTCCTTGCGATCACAAAACAGGAAAAACAGGAAAAGCACGAAACAGCACAGTGGGGACCAGTTGTCAGTTTTGATTGGCTAAGAATATTTAACGTCATATTCGATACAACGATTCTATTGGTTGAATAATGACCTGGGTGTAACCTAAAGTACAAGGTACAGCCCCAAACCAGCCAGACTCATTTATCTACCAACCTATCAAGACGTCGAAAAAATTACGGAAAACTTTTTTCAGAAATTAAACGCTATCTGAAGGTAAGAACTTGTGCGTCATGCAATACTTACATGTTAAGTGTTTTAATCTTAGTACTTTGTAACTTTAATTGTTGTATTCTGTACTGTATTTTTTGTCTGTAAGTTTGATTTAAACAGAGCCCCATTCAAACCAGCTTCGCTGAACTGGGTCCCTCTGTATAGATATTATTGATAAATAAATAAATTTAGAGATTTCTGTAAGGTTTTCTAGTTTTCTAGTGCTAATTCGTTTTCTAATTCGTTTTCCGTTTGTTTAGTTGYTTTGCGTCATTTCGTTTCACTTTCGTTTCGTAGGATAGAATCATATTTTCCTCTTGTACCAAAAAGAAAATGTTCAGCTTTCAATCAACTAATTAACCATGTCTGTACATTAAGAAGATATAGTGTATTAAGAACCAAGTTTGTTTGTAGCAATTGAAAGATTCCAAGTTGTCTGAGATATAGCTGACTGACTTGGTTTTGATTTGGAATCAGTAAAGAGATGAATCATTCGAGCAGTGATATCATGAGTAAATGGAGTAAAATGGAGTCAGGTCTACAAATTTTATGTTTAACAGTTTCTTTTCTAAGTGGCTAATGTATTTTTGTTGGTTTAATACAGAAGACAAGAACCAAGGAAGTACAGCACTGCTTGGTAAGCGACGGAGGAAGCAAAGCGGAACAAACAACGACTCCTACAGACTGATTGTGAGTATTCGATGTATTTAATGTTGGTGCCTACTATTGTCAGCGCGCACACTTACTGCGCATCAGCAGCAGTAAGGGGGACTCGCGGTCAATGTCAAAGATTTACGGGTTTTACAGGCGGTTTAAGGAAGG